CAAGTCCAGCACTTGACTGTGAGGGAGATGTTTTCTGTGGCCTCTGTCATGCTGTGACGATTCCCCTGTGCATGCCCTCACCTGTCACCTGACTTCTGCCCAAGTCCTGTTCCTCCCTCCTCAGTAGCATGTCCCTGATGACAAATCCCTAGAAAAATGGGCCTATCACCAGAAATCATGTTGCTTTTACCAAGGGCAGCACAGTATGCTCTACCCAACCTTGTTTCTCAGAAGTGGTAAGCTGCTTCATCTGACTCTTCCCAAGAGTTTTTGGCATGGTGATATATACAACTTGGGAAATTTCTGTTCAAAATCGGTTAACATTACAAGCAATTGAAAACAGAAGCTGCCTGTAATACTGAATTTTAGACACTTGCAGTCTTTACTACTGGGATTGCCTGTGATAAAAGCCCATATGACTTTTATTTATCTCTACTGTCCAAAGCAGGTGGAGACTACAAAGTATTAGCAAGTGAAGAAAACACTGGATTTGAGAAGTGCAAGCTCAGTTTCAGAGAAGCTCTGAACATCTGAACAGATCTGCAAAAGCAGATCCCACAGCCTGTTGTGTCTGTTATCTGAAGTTCCAACCTGACCTTACCCAGCGCTGGTTGAACGAGAGTGACATTGTTAGAAGTAATTCAGATCTGAAACTGAGCAACATCATCTTTTATGATTTGTGGTTGCAGTTGCGCACGGGTTTATTTACACCGCTGCTACGTGACACGGAGGGTTTTAGGTGCCTCCAGTGCTGCCCACAGCCACCCACAGCAGCACACTCTGCTTCCCCCACCACGCAGCACTCGGGCCTGCCGCGGCTTCGCCAGGACTGACGTCAGGCAACGGAGACAAGTAATCATGATTTGGCACATTTCTAAATGGCATCTGAGGCATAGCTGCAAATCTTGCACATCAGTTTTATCTCAGCTCTGATTACTTCAGTACAAGGGCTTCTCAGTAACACAATGCACACAGTTCTGTCTCCCAGATCATTCGAGAAGGTACTCTAAATATATCAAATCCATAATCAACATTTTATAAGGGTTATGCTCACATCAACACATTTCTAACAACTTTATAAAACACAGATCTCATTTGATTCAGTAGTTTCTGCTAAAGCAAGGACCTTAAATATTCAGCATGGAAATAATTGTGCTGCAGAAATAAAATCCACTGCAGGAAAGTGTTCAATGATTAAGAGTTCCTCTGCTGTTCTGTTCCACGAGAGAAGTCCAGTACACACTGAGGGCTAAAACCCTCACCTGAAGTGATCTGCCAAAGCCCTATGGAAGTCTAGTTTTGTGGAAAACAGTGCCAAAAAGAGGGTTTCATGTACCTCTGCACCCTCCCAGAGCATGATCTAAGATTCCTGTTACCTACCTATACACTAAAACAGCAACCAACAGGGATACAAAAGTCATAAAAAAGTCTTTAGATAGCTTCCCACTGGGATAAATCTCTCTTACAAGTCCCATTCCAGAGACCTCACAAGGCAGAAGCAAGATTCCTCAAGGGCACAAACAGGCTTCAGAGGACTCCCTTGGAAAACAGATCAGTCTGAAGGCAGCCCTCCAGCTCACTACTACTATTTTAATCACTTGGCACGTCAGGGCCTTTCTTTGCAGTCTTTGCTGCTGTACGTGACTAAGGGCTTAAGGCACACCTGTGTGTGAGTCCAAGGATGGACAATTCTTACCCTGGTTGGCCAACACTCCACCCTGGGATCATGTTTGAATCCATACTCACTGTGACCTTCCACGTGTCTGACATGCACCTGGCAGTCCCAAGCCACAGAAGACTGGCACAGACCTCAGAAACCAGCCTGGCATTCTTCATCCCAAGCTTAAGAGAACAACAAAAGGAAAAGCAAATAGACCTTTGACTGAGTTGGTACTTACTATTGTCATAGATTGGGTTGGAAATCAGAGGAGGAAGAGCTAACGTGTAGTTGCCGTGTTCGTCGGGAAGAAAAGCTTGGAAGCAGAGGCGGACGACATTGAGATCATACTCATCGATGTTGTGCAGCTGCTCTTCAGGCACTGAACAGCAGAAGAAAAGACAAGACTGAGGATTACTCATCAGAACCAGCAGTAAATCTTTACCAAACCAGGGATGAATCTCCACCAGTAAGAGAGATGATGTTGCTCAGGCAGAGGAAACCTGCCCATAGCCTCTGCCAGTTTCACAGGGGCTGCATGAATAAATTTCTTGTTCACAACCAATGATACAGAAGCCTTGAATGCTTTCCCTTCACCAAAGAGGGCTTGGCTGTCTGAGTTCTCCAGCTGTTTCTTGCATCTGATTTCCTCACCTTGGCTGTCAGACCAGTTTCATGTATCTGTACTTTAAAAGTCATTCCCTGGATGTGTTTCTCTCTTATTTGTGTATGATAAAATTTACAAAATGAATGTTGCTGCCAAAGAGAAATATTTTAGTACAAAGAACTCCTGGGACCTCGACAAAGATTTTCTGCAGCAAGGAGAGACTTTGGCTACTTTGTATTGTTATTTTCCTCTAGAAACTGAGATGGAAAAATGATCACAAGGCAGTTGTTGGGGCAAGAATGAAGCTGAAACAACACAAACCACCTCCCCACGCAACACCACCTGTGTCACCTCTGAACCTTTGACAACAGTGATTAGTGGAGTCATTGTGATACAATTTTGGAGCACAAGACGGAAACCCTTGCTGGAAAGGATCCACTTCCTTATGTATTCCTCTCAGTGTAAAACACAGCAATGCATCACC